GGGGGGGGGGGGGTAGACAATTTAGTAAATACTTGTTCATTTAATTTGCTCCATACCCTTCTTTCCTTTGGGGAAATGCCCCCGTCCCTTAATCATTATTCTGCCAGGACTATAAATAAAGTAACTTGTCTCTTTGGGGTCAACAACAGGACCCAGCTTGGCCAGACAAGAGCAGACCACATCTTGCCACAGTGACTATCACAGGAACTAGCTATGTGGCTCAGCCAGTCAGCATCCTACTCCACTTTGTGAAATCAGCAGATGGAGAAAGAGTTTCTGTTCTGTTAGTGAGCAGGAAAGGTATGTTAGGAGCTATTTCTACTCCCACAATATGGAGGAAAATGTCACTAACAAGAAACAATAAGCCCAGAGAAGAAAGAAGGGAGTCCAAGAAACAGCAAGAGAGAGTGAGGGGGAGTGAAAGGGACAGAAAACACACTTTAACTTCAGCTTCCTGGACCCAATAATGAACCTGAGGCTGTCACTAGCCATGTACTTCCTTTCAATTTTGTCAACAACGCTCCCTTTTTGCCTAAGCAAGTTTAATGGATTTCAGTCAAAACCACAAAGTCCTAATAATCTAGCAGAGTATTTTAAGATTTTGACTCAAAAATATGGCACTGAATAAATCAAGATGCAGTGGGGTTACTAAGTATTTTGCCATGTCACACTAGAAAGCTGGTAAACCCAGACGTTGTGGAAGTAAAGTTGGTCAAACATCAGTCATCTCTTGGGTCTCAGATTTTGACTTTACACAGGCTAAAGTTTTATGTCAAGATGCAGCCACTTCTTGCAACCATCTATACTGTCCACTAATAAAGACTTGGGCCGGGGATTTAGCTCAGTGGTTTTGCCGCCTGCTGCGCAAGCGCAAGGACCTGAGTTCAATCCCCGGTACCAAAAAAAAAAAAAAAAAAAAAAGACTTTTTTTGGTCCAGGTTAGATTTCCTAAAGCTAGAAAAGGAACAACACAGAACTTTTTAAGAGCAGCCCCTCATTTTAGAGCCAACAACTAATACTACTCAGAATCAATCCTTTGCCACTTGCTCAGTTTACTGTAAATAAGGGAAAGGGGAAAATTCTCCCCAGAGTAAGGCCTAAAGGACAGAAATATAAACCAGGGCTAAGAGTAGAGGTCCTTAATGAATATCCTTTGCCCAAGGGCCATATTCATCCTGTTAAAAAGGAATGAATCACTGCCATGCTGACTGGTGGCACAATACACATTTACGCCTTCCTTGCCTCTATAACTCATTATTTAATGATGCCAGGAGGCAGAAGCCTAGGCAGTGTCTATTCATCTGAAGGCAACAGCTATCAGCCTACCAAGGAGACAAACTGAGGAAGTGAGGGGTTCACCTTTGTGGGGGGACCCTGGCACAAGTTACTCAGCGTTAGGTACTAGAAGAAGGATACTTACAAATCTGTAAGTGTTGCCAGAAAAAACTCCAAACCTGCCAAATTGAAATGTATAACTGTTAAACCCTACACCCTTCCCCAGTAAGAACCAGCAGGAATTAGGCTGCTAACACAGAATGGCCTCCAGATGGGGAAATCTCATACTCTTCACTTCTCACTCATGGTCACTCTCCCAGGTTTAACAAAGAACCCCTCCACTATCAGAATAATGAGTGTTAGGACCAGGGAATTAGCTCAGTGGTTTCGCCGCCTGCTGCGCAAGCGCAAGGACCCGAGTTCAATCCCCAGTACCAAAAAAAAAAAAAGATGATTGTTCACAAAGTAAGAATAATGAGTGTTATAGGAAGTTAAATTCATGATTTGGCTCTCAGATTGTTAAATCAAGGTAAGTCATACCCAGACCTGTTATAATTGATGCACAACATACAGAAATCCTAGGTTTAGGTCAAGATACAATTATAATTTCTGGGTGTAACTGCTGGACAGAGGCTTTTAGAAGTTTTCAGTTGTGTGTGAGATCTGTGTACTATGTTAGACAGAGGCATTTTTGAATGCTATGTATGGGATCTAGTGTGAGTACACATGTATGTGCTGAGCCATCAAAAGATGGAGTTGTAGACATTTACGCAGTCTACCTTCACAGCATCCCTCTTTCTTTGGCAAACCATTCCTACCCCACTCCAATCACATACTTTGCTGGAGTCATCAATCATAATACCTTGCCTGCCCTGGCCACAGGGATGAGAACAATAGATCCAAGATAGGCCACTCAAATTCCTTCCTCAAGGACTTTTGATTTGGAGCAGGAGTAGGGGCCTTGTCTTTGGGTCACAGACCTTGAAAAGATATGAATACAAATTGCTGGTGCCATCTTTCCTGCCACTTGGAAAAAGCCTGTCTGTATTAGGAGAGAATGAAATTAAAACATAAACATATGCAGATCCAAAGGTGAAAGAGAAAGAGAGGAAGACAGAGTCATTATACCTGGGGATCCAGTTACACCAGATGATGATGGCTCAGACTTTATAATTACATCAGCTAATTACAATTACTCTTCATTTAAGCTAGTTTAAGTTGGTTTGGTCACTTGCAATTTAGAAAATTCTAAGCAAAACAGATCCCCACGGGCTGGGGATTTAGCTCAGTGGTTTCGCTGCCTGCTGTGCAAGCACAAGGACCCAAGTTCAATCCCCAGTACCAAAAAACAAACAAACAAACAAAAAACAGATCCCCAGTTCGTATCATATAGAAAATTAGATTAAAAGCAAAGTTAGAAGTATTATGAAAAATTACTGTAAAAATGTGTACACTCTTGGGATAGGGGTGGTTTGTTTTCTTGTTGTTGTTGTTGTTTTTTGGTACCAGGGATCGAAAAGGGGTAGTCTTTCTTAATGGGACACAAAATCCACAGATACCCTGAAGAAAAAGATTTTAAAATTTAACTACAGGGGCTGGGGATTTAGCTCAGTGGCACTGCACCTGCCTTGCAAGCCCAAGGTCCTGAGTTTGATCTCTAGTACCAAAAAGAAAAATAAAAACATAAAAAATTAACTATATAAAAATATAAAGAATCTTGTATGACCAAACAGCAGAGTTAAAAATAACTCCTATATAAATATATGTAAAATAAAAAATTAATAGCCATAATACATGAAGCATTCCTAAAACTCACTAAAGAAAAATGTAAAAAAATGAATGGAAAACAGTGACTAAAGATATGAATAATCAATTCACAGAAAGTCCAATAAACACATGAAAAGAAATTCAACCATATTGGTAAGCAGAGATATGCAAATTTTTCAATGAAACACTTTATCTCTGGCAAAAGTGTAAGAGGGTTAATGATGCTGAATTTAGGTATAAAAGTGTAGAAATAGACATGTATGTGAATAATGCATATAAATCCCTTTTGATATACAACAAAGCAGTAGTCAATACTATTTTTAAAATGTACCTATCATATGACCAGCAAAAATCCATTTACTGTTACTACACTGCTAGAAATACTTCCACAAGTACACAAAGGTATATATACATGCTGAAGATGTTAAAAAGCATTATTTGTAATAATCAAGTATCATGCAGCAGTTAAAAATAAACAATTTATACCATGAAAAGTTCCCCTAACATGTTATTGAGTGAAAAAAAGATGCAGAACAATACATGCAGAATGATCCCAGTTATGTTAAAAAACAAAAAACAAAACAATTTTTAAAAAGCCTGTGTAAACATACATACATTAATGTAACTACAGGGAAAAAGATCTAAAATGTTACACACCAAAATGTTGACGGTGTTACACGTGAGGATAGCTATGAAAAGGACCAGAGTTTTTCCCCTTCTTCTTCCTCTGTATGCTTTTATATTTTTTAAGTAAAAGCAGTGCGTTCAAGTGTTATTTGTGTTAAAAACAAAAACAAGAAAAAAGTGAAAGGAAAATCTTAACCCACCCCCATCAAACTTTCATTTAAAAAATTTCAAAATATAAAAAAAAAGAAAAAGAAAAAGCTCCCTTTAATGGTTAAGTGTGTTCTTACCTATCTCTTCTTGAATAGAGACAGGTGTATGAGATTCTCTTTCTCCATTTTCAGGATCATCAGCTGCCTTAGCAGATTCACTCTGGGAAGAATTTAGTTCACTGCTGCTGTTACTGTTTTCCAGATTAGGCTGGATGGAGGTAGTGGTAGCACTAGTGTTATTGCTGTCACATGTCTTGTTAGATTCTTCTAGAAAAATAGAATATCTGATTTTTAAATTGGAAATCACATAAAAACTAATTGTCAGAAAAGACATTTGTTTCAGGATTTCATTACAAAGCTATTTTAAAACTAAAAACTGATCATGTATGAATAATGCACTGTATGAAAAGAAACTGGTAAGCACCACCCTGTGGGTTATTTTTCAAGGTTTCTCAGTCTATTAACTCACAGACTCTTATATCATCTACAGCGCAAAGCAGACAATCTTTGAGATACCCCAGAGCTGAAGAAAACAAAAACAAAAACAAAAAACAACCGATACATGCCAGCAGTTTTGCTGAGGTAGTATCTCAAAACAAGTTTATATTCTGACTCTTCAAATGTATTCCAACAGTATTAGAAACAGAATTAAACAGGATTACTTATCTCTAAGGTTTTCTCCCTGAACTCTATGCCCCAGGTAATGGTGATTAACTTTTTAAGACAATTTAATAACATGACTAAGAGTTTAGTTGCTAAACGTGTATCAAAATTAATCTTACTATGAACTGAATGCCTAAGTTTTCCTGTGGAACCTCAGAAAAAGTCTCCCTTTGCATTTCTGTTTGTCATTACTGAGATATTCTTCAAGCCACTTAAAGGCAAAAGTGGCTGACAGTGTGTCACAATGGTTATCTGGACTGTATGATGAGCTCCTAAAATAGCTTTCTGAAGAAAAAAACCCAACAATCTGATAGAATATAGAAATAATAACAAAAGAAATGAAAGTAACCTTTAAACTTACGAAAGTACGTTCACAATTTAAGCTAAGAAATATACAAAATTGGGCCGGGGATTTAGCTCAGTGGTTCCACCGCCTGCCTCGCAAGCCCAAGGACCCGAGTTCGATCCCCAGTACCAAAAAAAAAAAAAGAAAAAGAAATATATAAACTACTTGGAGAAGCTACTTAGTTTTCAGAATGGTTGAAATCCAAGGGCTGGGGATTTAGCTCAGTGGTTCTGCCACTTGCCTCTAGAGTGCAAGGTCTCGAGTTCAATCCCCAGTACAAAAAAAAAAGAATGGTGAAATCCATAAATCCATAGTATACTCAGGTGGAGAGAAAGGCTGTTCACAGGTAATCCTCACACTTTTCTGTGGGGATGGAAAATGGTCCAAGGTGGATAAAATGGAACTGACAATTCCGGAAAAATCACACATGCATTTATTCTCAAGTTAGAAATCTCATGTCTAGAAATCTATCTCAAATACACTAGCAAAAATACTTAGCTACTCAGTGAAGCATTATTTATAATGCCAAAAGAGGCCAGGGATGGTGGTACATGCCTGTAATCCCAGCACTCAAGAGGCTGAGGCAGGAGGATCAGGAGAATAAAAATGGCTACCTATAAGGGTAGAAAAAGATGAGATTACTTAGAAAGGAAATGGAAAGAAGTGAAAATTCTTTGCATATATCCAGCTACGTGGTTTTGTAGTAACATAAATGTTTTACATTTGCAAAACATTAAAGCTAGAAATGCAATCACTAGGCCACACGTGGGGATCCACGCCTGTAATCCCAGCACTCAGGACACTGAGGCAGGAGGATCTCTGTGAGTTCAAGGCCAGCTTGAATTACAGTCTCAAAAACAAAACAAAAAAAACCCCCAGAAATAAGTCAAAATAAATTTTAAAAGAAATGCAATCACTAAAATTTAAAAACAAATGCACTAACTGTAGGTCAGTTTGTGTAGAACTACATAAAGTAAATAATTACTTCAAATGACTAGGAATATTGGGGGGGGGGGACCGGGGGATCAAACTCAGGACCTTGCGCTTGCAAGGCAGGCACAGTGCCACTGATCTAAATCCCCCGCCACTGGAAGGCAGTATTTTGATTATATGTCCTTACAGGAAATATAGGACAAGTTAAGTATGCAAATAATTATAGGACAAATAAAGAGCTACAAAAAATTTTTAACTGCTACTCAGGATTTTTACTATCAAAAGCAGTACTGGTATTAGGAAAACACTATATATAACATAATGATGCACATTAGGACATAAATGTTCTGCATTAAGACAAAGCAAATATATAACTGAGCTACTGTGGTTTAAAACTAAGGCTTTCGGTGTAAGGGAAAAGAAATACAAATGTAAAGACAAAGAAACCAAGTATGTCATCCTCAATCTGAACTAGAAATGTCAATGTAGACTGATGGTTTTTTCTTTTTGAAAGTATTTTCTATTTACCAGGGGGTTTTTTTTGGGGGGGGGAGACTAGGCCTTATTATGTAGTTCAGGCTGGTCTCAAACTCACTATGTATGCTAGTTTCGAACTCCCAGGTATCATCCTGCCTCAGTCTCCCAAATATTAGGATTACAGGCGTTGTGCCACCACATCTGGCTTCGCTAATTCTTTTATTTTTTGTTTTGTTTTGGTGCTAGGATTGAAGCCAGGGCCTCAAGAATGCCAAGCAAGTGCTCTCCCACTGAGCTACATTCCTACCCCTTTTAAAATTTTTCTTTTGAGACACAGTCTCACTCAGTTGTCCAGGCTGGTCTCAAAGTTGTGATCCTCCTCCCTCAGCCTACTGAGTAGCTGAGATTACAGGTGTGCACCACTATACCTGGTTTGCCCAATATATTTCCTAATACTATCCACCAAAGAAGCCTAGAACCAGTGGGAGCCCAACAGCAATAAGTACCTCTCGGATCAGACTGTGGTCTCTAAACACCATTCCCCACTAAAAGGAACTAAGAGTTCCTGGGAGGAAAAAAAAAAAAAATTCCAAGCCTGGTGTAGAACTATCATTATTCCAAAAAGCAAGGAAGCTACTGACTACTGAGGTCATAGCAGGACTCAAAAGCCAACATGAAGGGACTTCCACTGGTCAACAGAAGCAAACTGAATGATAACTGCAAGTAACTGAAACAAACAATAGAAAAAGACTCCTAAATCTGATACTTCGAAAAAGAAAGCCAAATCCCTCGTCCAAGACTTTGGAACTCAACCACCACTAAAGATAACTGGGCACCAACTACTGATTTTGAATTTAAGAGAAACAAAGCATTTATTTTACTATTCTTGCTTGAACTCTCAGTATTTTCAAATAACTTCAGTTAATGAGGGAAGATTTTTTTTACAGAAGTCCAATTAAAAAAAAAAAGAATTAAGATCTGTACTGTAGTCTCCAAATAAGATACTTCATTCTGGAAAGATCACAGCCAGTGAATGAAAGTTTGACAGAGAACCCTACAATCTCATTACCTTAACTTTGATCAAACTTATATATCAATCTTAGCATTTTTTTTTTTTTGGTACCGGAGATCAAACTTGGGCCCTTCCGCTTTTGGGACAGGTGGTGGAACCACCAAGCTAAATCCCTGGCCCAATCTTAGCATTTCTAAAGGTAAAACAACCAGGCATGATGAAATATGAAATACCATACCTAGCACCTTGCTTATGAATTACTCTTGCCAAAACCAGCTCAATTTGAACCTAACCAAGGCTTTAGAACAAATTAAAGAACACTGTAAGAAAAGCAATAGAAAAATCCTAAATGTGCTCACTTCGGCAGCACAGATACTAAAATTGGAAAAATCTTAAATATAGATTGTACCAGAGGAGAACAGACTAGGATTTGTTAAAAAAGTCAACAGTAAAAAAAAAAAAAAAAGTCAACAGTATTTGTTCTTTTAAAAAGTCAGGGAAGGGGAAAGTACTCTAGATTAAGAGACTCAAGAGATGTAAAACCAAATGTCATCATGTGTGAATCCTCTCATGTGCAGTTATTTCAAACATATCAAAAATTTTGAAAAAGATGTTTTAAGTGAGGAAATTTGAATATAGAAGGAATATTACATGACAGTAAGGAACTGTCAGCTTTATTAAAATGATAATAGTTCTGTAATTACATAAGAAAATGTCCGTATCATTAATTCTTTTTGTTTAGGGTTTTTTTTTTTTTGGGTACCAGGGATCGAACTCCGGTCCTTGTGCTTGTGCAGCAGGAGGCGAAACCACTGAGCTAAATCCCCGGCCCCCATATCATTAATTCTTTAGTAATGTATGTAGGGCTGATATGATGTCTGGAATTTTAGAAACATACCTCAGTAGGAAACAATCCAAATTTACACCAACAGAAAAGAGGATATACAAACTATGGTATAGTTACAATGAGGAATATTATCATGCAACTAATACAAAAGAATAACATACATATTAGCTAAATAATACAAAGTTAACAAATGAAGTTCTGAAAGTCACATTTAACATCATACTCTTGCCATAAAGTTAAAACACTGATCATAAATATAGTTTTTAGAAAAATCATATAGCTTAACTTGATGAGGTAAGAGTATATGAGCTGTATATCACTTTAATCTCCAAGATCAAAAGCATCAATTCTAGTTTCCCTTCACTCCAGGAAAGGGAGAGAGAAGAGGACTGGGTTAGGGAGATAGATGAAGGTTGGTTGAAAGGACTTAAACTTTTTTTTTTTTTTTTTTGGCAACAAGTTCCCAGGGTACTTGTTAAAATTAAAATTTTAGCTTGGCATGATAGCACACACCTGTAATCTCAGCACTCTAAGAAGCTAAGGAGGAGAATTACAAATTCAAGCTGAGGCTGGGTAATTTAGTGACTTAGACAGACCCTGTCTTAAAATAAAAACAAATTTGGTGATGTAGGCTCAGTGTGAAAGCCTTAGGTTCAATTCCCTGAACTACACAAACAAAAATTTTATATGCCAAATAAAGATGAAAAACAATATCTGAGGGCTGAGGGTGCAACTCAGTGGTAAAACACTTGCCTAAGATGTGTGAGGGCCTGGGTACAATTCTCAGCACCACCTACCCCAATACAAAACCTGACAGCTATAAAGAAGTAAATGTTTTTGATCAACCTAGAATTTTTTTTTTTTTTTTTTGGTACCAGGGATCAAACTCGGGTCCTTGCACTTGCAAGGCAGGCACCAGAACCACTGAGCTAAATCCCCGGCCCACCTAGAATATTTTTATCTAGCAAAAATACACTTTGTAAACTCTA